CCTAAACGGAAAGTTATTTAATAGATCTCTTAGAATTAATATCTCCATACAATATTAGAAGGCAATTTCAGTAAATATATTCAATACTCGCTTAGTAACATCTCATAAATAATAGTAGAAGATATAATGTAATGTCTCATGTAATACATGACTATTTACAAAATAAATACAAAAATGTTACGTAACAGTCACCGTCAGAATGCAGCGTTGAAATTTCGGTAATCGATTTGTTCGACAGCGCCATGTTTGTTGACATTTGCGTACCGATCGCGACGGTTGTTGAACGAAAATTTATGATCTCCCGTTTAAATTTGAAAACGTAACCAACTGTTTTTAGGTGAACGTGAACACCAGTCAATTATAACGGTTTTTGGTGACCAGTAGATAATTTAAATATTTTTTTTCAGGAAATAGAATGACATTTGCATTCTTGATTTTCGACCTAAATGTTTTGGCAAGATTATACAATGGTTGAATAATATAATTTTTCGACATTCGATTGGAATCGACTTTAATCGTTATGTCATAGAATCATTAAGTGTCATTCTCGTATATTTTTTTAGATTTCTATTCTTCTACGATTGTAAATTGACATCTTGTCTAAATCCTCTTTTTCCCAAACATGACGAGTTCCGATTTTATAACGTTTAAAACTTCAGGGTCGCTTCAATCTGCGAGTGCTATTGTGAATGCGAATAACGGAATGTACCTACTTATACACACACACACACACACACACATGTACACATGTACATATATATATATATATATATATATATATATGTAATTTTTTTGTTAGGCATATATTATATTCTAATGGATATATGAAACTTTCCATAATACGTATTTAATATAAAATGCTACACCAGTAAGTAAAGAACGAATGAAATCTTTCTATAAATAAAAAAACGTAGGTAGGTACCTAAAAAATATTTAAAATAAATAACATTTTATCAAAACATTATCAAAGTATAGATTCTACCAGACAAATAGATACTAAAAAGTGTTATCTCCTTATCTTCAGTCCATCTCAACGAGCCGTCAAGATGGCCCTTATCTGTTGAGTGTCGGCCGCGCATTTCCCAGGCAGATACATTTAGTTCCTCTACCGCCCAATAGGTGGCGTTTAGAGTCGAGAAATGTATACAAGAAACGTTTAAGTGAAAATAATTAGCTTATAAATATCTAAGCTACTCTGTAAAGATTTTAATTAATTAAAATTAATTTATTCTTAAAAAAAATTAACAAAGTAAGAATCTATTCTACTTGTTAATGATTGACTATGGTGTTTTGAAAAGATCTAAGAAACTTTTTTATAACATTTTACATACACGCTATAATATATCTATGTCTATTTAGGTATCATTATAACATTTCCTTATACATTATGTTCCATAATTTTTGTTCAGTAATCTTATAAAAATATAATATTTGCCCATACAATATATGAAAAAAAAAATCATTAGGCAGGTAAGTACCTACTTACTTTCGTAAATCTTTATCTATTCATTAAATACAAGCGATGAGACCGATTGGTTTTACAAAAAGTTTAAACATCATGCTTTCTTAAAATGAAGAGCTTCCATACAAACTTTTATACCCTATTGAATCCTTTTAGTATTCATTTTCCTTATATTAGCGATTGTGCAAAATATAAATCATCTAAACCTAACGATGTTCGCTATGCGTAGTGCGTCAGTTAGTTAATGGTAGAGTCTATTAATCTAAGTTATTGTATGTAATCTAACTTATTGAAAATTAAAGTAATTTCAGGAGTTATTATGGAAAAATGAGAAAAATTGAAGAACGGCTTAACGAATCTGGATGAAATTTGGCACAGAGATAGATTATAGTCTGGAATAGCACAAATATTACTTTTTATCCCTGAAAGATATAATAAGCAATAATTAATTCATTAATTTAAATATACCTACGTGTTCCTAAACTATGCGATATACAATGAAATGAACCTATGTACTACCTATATACTCACTAGACAATATTTGTTTATTTCATCTCGCAGTACAAAGCCTGTGATAACAACGAAATGAAACGTTCTGAAAATAATTTATGATCTCTCTTATTCGAATGTTATTTGTAAATCAGTTTGTGCATCGCATATAACGTACCTACCTGTTTCCAAATTCAATATTTTATACTCTTACTAGCATTGCCCGCGGCTTCGCTCGTGTTCAGGTGACCAAAAAGCAAATTTTTAGGTTTTACATATTAGTAGGTATACTCTCTAACCAGCTGTCACCATACCACATTTCATAAATATCCCTCCGGTGGTTTTTTCCGTAATGCGGTAACAGACAGACAGACAAAAATTCTAAAAACTACAGATTCGGCCTCTATATGGAAAATAATGTCTATTTTAATAAGATTTTCCAAAAAATAATTAATGTACAGTTTCGGCTTAGTTAGAATTTTATTATATATATATAGATATATACTTAATTTAGTAGGTACAAAGCGTAAAATTATAATGTTATTATTGCGTTTAATTATAAATTATTATTGTACATTTTAACATACCTAGGGTATTATAGACGGATAAAATTTAATTAAAAAATTAGTTTTGATAACAAAAATCCGAATACTATATACAAGAATAACACACCAATATTATATACCTAATCTTAATTTAATCAAATGTAGGATTATTATGTATACATGTAAGTAGTAAACAAAGTTGTAACAAAAACTATGCCCATAGGACTCCCACTTGTCACGACATAAGTACGGTATTCTTATGTAAACTATCGATCTCCTTTATTCGTAACAATCGTTATAATATTCAACATGCTCTCTATTTGTAACAAAACAATATGTAAAGTAAATCGATTTCCATACCGACGGTGGCGCTATTGTTATTGCATTCGCACCGACCGCTTGCGCCTACGCACCTTTATCAATTATGTATTCTGTAATATATTAAATATTGTTTGATCACTGATATCGATCAAGGTCGTTTTGATTAATGACTCTGCTTAGAAAATCATCTGGATATCGGGAAGGATCGAAATGATCTCGCAAGATGGCCGCCCCGTTGCGCGAGAATGCGGCGCTCGCGCTTGGTTTTAATTTAAAAAAAATTGTTTTAAAAATACTATAGTGATGAAAAGTAAATACCTATATTAACATTCTGTTTATTATGTTGCAATTGCAACACCAGAACAAGGGTTTGTCAATTAGTTTTCGTACTAGCACCAAAAGTTTACGTTTCCAGTTGGTTTTAAGGGTAGAGTTGTTAAATTAGAAATTCTTTAAATAAATTTTTATTAATTTTACCAAAAATGAATAAAAACATATTACTTACTAATATATTTCATTTTAATATTATTAATTATATTTTTATATAATTCATTTATGTTAAGATAATCTAGGTATTCTGAAGTGCTAAAAACTGTAACGAAAAAAAAACTGACTCTACCTATAGGTACAATTTTTTTTATCTATAATATATTTCAATTATATGTTACTAATTCTAGCAACATTCTTGATTATCATCTTTTATTCCATATATAGGATATGAAAGAGTCAAGAGCCTTAAGCAGTTATAATTTATGTACTTAACACTAAAGCTTATGGCAGTAAATAAATACGTAAGGTAAAAAAAAGGATTTATTATAACAGCAGCGTTGTTTACGCTTGAGCAAATATTAATCAGGTGCTGACAATCTTATATTTTTATACCTATCTCTAGTTTATAAATAGCACAAGAATAATGTTTATTTAATTATAATCAATTTTGAATTTAAATTATTTTTGTACCTAAGTAAATAATTACTTTGCTATCTAAAATTTTAAGAATCTTTCGCCAGATAATTTACCAATTGATTTGTCATTTTTTATGACATTATAAACTAAATATGCGCATGAGTATGTACTGTATTTTAAAAGCAGTTGAATAATTAAATTAATATTCATAAAAGAACTAATTAGACAAGATTTTTTTTTAAACCTATTACCTCCTTAGAAGATTTATTAATAAATTAATCTCATTTTAAATAAAAATGTACAAACTGTGTGTCTATGTTTAAACGTTTTTCTTACCAAATTGACGTTAACATTACCAGTTAGTGCCAATTTTCACAAAAAAAAAGTTTTTTTTTTATATTTAATGTATCTACAATAATAGTTAATTAACCCTTTATACTAAGAGAATATTTGAGTAAAATGTTTTAGTCATGTCATGTAGGAATATTTTAAAATAATTATAAACAGCTTTTGACTTACATTTCTATTGAAAATTGCGACGGATATCGTCTTAGAATGAAATATTTATAAAAATAGTATTTTACCTTAAATATTAATAACTAATATACTTATAACTGTTCGTGAACTACAAAATAAGGATATAAGACATAGATATAGAAAAACTTAATTCACAATTAGGAAAAAAATCGAATCAAATTTTATTGTAATATGATATCCATCTGAGAGTAAATTATTAACGAGTTATATTTACTTATAAGTCTCAGGTATTGTTATATCTATAATTTGTTCTTTTTTTCTGAGAGCTCTAACAAGATTTTTTTCCCATAAGTGACCAAAGTTCAAATAAGACTTTTTGTAATTCTGAATTTATTTTAAGAATAACTTGCTAGTGTTATCACTGAACAACTATAAATACAAAATTTTGATTGAATTCAAAACATACTTTGCAAGTTTCAACATCCGATCGAGAGTTACACCGGCGACAATAAAAAGTTTTCTTCACTAATGACGACTATTTCTTATTGGTAGAGATCGACAATATGATATAACAAAGTGTAATTTATATTGGAAATGCAAAATTAAACAAAAATATCGTGAAGTGCGAGTCCTATATAATAATATAAAATGTAAATAACCTGTGAGCATCGCCCGCAGAACGCCACTAAACACGTATTTGCGGCATATCACGCGCAGTCACAAAGCACTTGTCCAATCGAATATAACAAACAACACTTGATCAGTCAAAACACAGAACACAATCACTGAACTGTTAATTAGGAACTCGGTGTTGTTTTGTATCGTTGCGGTAGTTCGGCGAACGCGCGCGCCACTGCTCTGTCGACGGTCGCCGGCACACTGCGCGGCCGGTCGCCTCGTCCCCCCGCACGCTCTCGCCCCCCTCCCGCTCCCCGCGCGCCCCCCGCGGGGGGCGTGGCCACGAGGCGAGGCGAGGCGAGCTTAATTACGCTCAGCGGGCGAAGCGGGACGGCGATAGAGTGGGCGCGAGCTATTAGCGCGCGGAGAGCGGGACGACGCGTCTTAAGTATTTTGTATAAGTAATGAGGGGCGCGGGACAAGGCGGGAGAGCATCTCCCGCCAATCTTTAATGTTGATTGCGTCCGCCGCCGCCTCTGTCCCTCATTAGCGGCCCCGCCTCGGCGTTAATTACGCGAGGTAATTGCGGACGATATTTGCACAATTGCTTTTTATCCAGATTCCAACATTTCAGATTTTTCTCTTGATTCAATGTATCGTTTTAATTGGGCATTAATAATGGAATTATTATTTAGATGGAGCTTTTTAAATTCAAATGAAATGTACTTATGGATTATTAGTGAGCTTTTTTTACAGTTTTTAATGGCTCAATTACCGATATGGTTTTTTGGTAACTTTTGTTTTATATCAATATTGAGTTGACTAAATCCATAACTTATATGATGATAATAATTTAACATAATGTAACATCGAGAGCGAAACGTAAGGAAAAAAGCTCTACAACTCTACCTAAAAATCATAATATAAAGCTTTTACATATACCTACATAAATTGTAATAAATAATAAATCTGGTGTATTAGTAGTAGGTACTACCTACTCATAATGAAAAGTAATTTTCGTTAATGTTTATTTAAAGAAGATCTATGAGGGGTAACAGAGTTTTGCTTTGAAATAAAAATATATACCTTATAAGGCTACTTACTATCTATAGGATATTTCAAATTATAAGTGGGAGTAACTTTTTTCCAATTAACGATGAATATATTAATAATTTTGCTTAAATCATTTATAATTACTTTACATTATGTATCTTGCTAGATCGTAGTCTAATAAGAATTACTTAATAAATTAGATTTGAAATATCATCAAACATCTATACGTAGATCCATTGAATATGTACCTAATAAAAATAAATAAATTTAAAGTCATTTTCCTTCATCCTTAAACGTACCTACCTATCAATATTATGTTATATAAATCTCTAAGCACGGTGTTTTAAAAAATAGAGTGCCTTTCTATTAGCATAAATAAAATAAATAATATCTTATACGTAATAGATATGTATATGTAGAGATAAATTTTATATATGTTTGAATTATATGGAAGATAATATTATTATCATGTGAAGTTACCTTAGTAACTAAATTTTTTATGTACCTACCAGTAATTAATCTACTTCTCTGCATTTCATAACGATACAAAACGATACAATGTGAGAATGATTTATTTTTATAGGTAATATATTATAGTTGGTACGTACTTACATATAAAAATCAATAAATAGTAAATAATTAGGTATGTATATGTAACTAATTTTTTCTCGCAGCTCCACACGTGTAGTAGATATGTCGATAAAAAACTTATATTACCTACAGAGTAAAGACTGTCTTCGTTTCATTTTCACTGCAACGTTTAAAGCGCGAAGAAGTAACAAACATACTCACTCGTTCAAACAACTTTAATATTTAGAAAGTGTTCGATTACAGTTATATAGAGTCTTCATTTAATGATTCAAAATATTATTTTTTATTCATAAGCAACACCTAATCATCGTTAAATTCTTGAATAAATAAGTATATATTATATACCTATGTAAATGGAACATATACTAAGTAACTTAAATGCTTATTAATACACATAGGTATGTAGGTATTTTTAAGTAGAGCTCAAAAGTCGTACCAATAAGTGCAGTGCAATTTTCGTTGTTTATACCTATAGGTATAATTAATTAATTACATTTTATTAATTTAATATAGAGTTTAAATTTTCATAGATAGATCTTATTTTTTATTATATGTATTTAAAAAAAGATATTGCTTAAGAAATCATGTTTGTGCAAAATCAACCTACCCATCTAGTAAAGATTCCTTTCACCATATTTGGATTGAATCTATTAATATCCTTTAGAAGCTGTAATAATATTGAATATAATATTTTGAAAATAACATACTTAACTAAAACTATCTTTTCGGATTATTTCGCGGATTTATTTAGATTTTTGGTTCCCGACGTTTCGAATGCTTTACAGCAACCATGGTCGCGGAAGAGACTGAGGTGTTAGGTGTCTCAAAGGTATTATACCTATACCTACCTAGTTTTTACAGACAGCCTACACACAAATAACAAAATAAATTCAAAAAATACCTTACAATATTTTTTAACTTTAAATATTTTTATAATTTGAATTAGTTAGAACATGAAATATTATTTATTTAATTTAAGCTGTTATTATTTAATAATTACAATTTTTTACAAAAAATATTAACTAGTAAGTAATCTACATTGAGTGTTGCCATTATTATATTTATAACCATAAATATAACAACTATATATGTAATACCTTTGAGACATCTAACACCTCAGTCTCTCCCGTGACCATGACTGCTGTAAAGCATTCGAAACGTCAGAAACCAAAAATAAAAATAAATCCGCGAAAAAATCCGAAAAGATAGTTTTATTTAAAATGTCAAATATTCGCGTAAATCTAAGAAAGTATTAAATAACATAATTATTAAAAATAATATCTTTGCTTCTTATTATTTTTAATTTTGTAATTTCTTCTAATTAGCTGTACCCACCTGTAATATTTTTTCCTTTTAATAAATAGCCGCCACCTGAATGTTACTTTGTTTTATATATACTGTGGTCATTTAGTAACTTTTAAAATAATTTTACATAAAAATCGTAAGAGTAGGTATTTGTGAACAGCGGCTCACCCTCGCTTCGTTCGGGCTCGTCCCTAGGTACGTTTTAACGGTTAGTATGGAATTGGTAGACTAAATTTTATATTACTGCTCGGCTTCCTTGGGTAGTGCATTATGATATAAATAGCCTTCCTCAATAAACGGGTTATTTAACGCAAAAAGAAATTTTCAAATCGGATGAGTAGTTCCTTAGATTAGCGCGTTCAAACAAACAAACAAACAAACAAACAAACAAACAAACAAACAAACGAACAAACTCTGCCTCTTTATAATATTTATAAACTAGGTATGAATTGAACATTTTCATCGTGAACTTGTCTTCTATACCTACATAAAAGACTAGAAAGAACCCATATAAAAATAACGCAGAAAGTATTTATACGTAAATATAGCACCTGCATTTTATACTTAGTACTAATGTAATCTTAAGCTTTTTAGTTTGTAGACCTATCGTTTTGTTATTCTTGAGAGCAGCTGTAATTTTTTTGCTTGAATCTTTGTAACAACACCTTTTTTAGAATGACTTATAGTACTTATATAATTATCATCCAATTTACATTTATTATTAATTTTTTCTTTTTTTCTAACAAGATTAGATAAAGATAACGTAGATGTGTACATTTTATTTTTAATTTTTATAATGATTAGCTAAAATATGATTAATGCTCTACATCTCAACCACTTTAAAACAAAATCCGTATTACGATTTTTTGTATGTTATCTACGCGTTCTATTTGTTAAGTAAATTAAGCCAATTTATTGACAAGGTAGATAATTTACGTCGTCACAGTATCACTTATTAATGAAAAAGGTATAAATATTAATTAGGTACCTACATGTGTTAAATATGTTACATATTATACTTAAGTATCCTAAGGATAACTTCAATCTAGTCTAATCTTGTTAATTAATAAAAGAGCGACAATGTTATTTAATTTCTAGTAACACTAAAATATCATAAGGATGCTCTTATTACTAAATAAAATTAAATAATCATATTTTTTTCTATTTTTAAATAAATCATATGATGCGTAGGTATAGGTACCTACTTATTTATAGAACTTAAATTCGTGAAAAACTTTTATTTATTAAATAAAGAATGAAAAGTAAATAATTCTTACTTCATTAAATCTCTTGTTATAATTATACTATTTTTATCTATATATTTACATATTACAATATTTTTTTCAATAACCTCTATCCTATAAATATTTCTATAAGGTAGAATTTTATACACAAATTGACTTAATTACGTTTTGATTGCTATAATGTTGATAAAATATATATAGAGTAGACATATTAAGTGTGACGACAGGTGCGAATAAACATATTTAAATACCTTACATTTATTAATAAAGTATTAAATTTAAACAACATTTCTTATCATATAAAAACGTATATCCTTTTTAGTTAAGGAGATACATTAATGTCATTAAAATTAATGGTTCTATAATATGAGCTCAAGCAATATTCAGTCTAAATGATAGGAATTCGATAGGTATAGGTATTGAAACGGTATAGAATCGATTAATTTTTCAATTTTCTATAACATTTACATTTACTTGCATTAATTTAAATGGCCTATCGTCTATAGGTACTTATCTTTATGACAATTTTCAAGACCATTTTAGTGTTGTTATCTCATAGGTATACGTATTTAAACTTGCTGCGTTTTAGCGTTTAGTATAGATTTCTCAGAGATGAGATATTTTCCCGCAGTGAAAAAGTATCCTATATGTTGACCCGGATATCCAGCTATTATCATACTAAATTTCATCAATATCTGTCAGTGGTTTTCTTGTAATGCGTTCCCAGACAGACGGTTAGACAGACAGGAATTCTAAAAACAATAGATTCGCTCTCTCGTATCTCGTATCCTCCCTTGTATCGATAATAATGACTATTTCATTAAGATGTTCCAAAAAATATTTAATGTTGATTGACTCAAAATTTCATTATATGTCTAGATTATTTACGCTACATATAGGTACATATTATGTATCTATATTTTAAATTATGTAGTTTAGTAATTTGTACGTTTATATTATGGTTAATATTTTCTTAGATTTACGCAAATATTTGACATTTTAAATAAAAAATTAAAAAATAAATAAAATATAGTCTCTTCCGTGACCATGATTGCTGTAAAGCATTCGAAATATCGGGAAAACAAAACTCAAAATAAATCCAAATAGATAGTATCATTTCAAATATTATGGTTATAGGTATATTATAGGTATGTAGAGTTTAAGTTTAAGTAAATAAAAATGGTATCCCTAAATATATGTATATAATATTTTGTATATTAATACAAGTACCTATTCGCAAAATGGTTGAAATTCAACGATATATATTTTTTTATTGACAACACTAAAGCTCCGTCAATAGTTACTAAACAAAAAAAAAAAGAAAATCGCATGACTAACAGAGGAGGAACAGTTCCTGAACTGTTTTGTCTTTGCCTATTTATATACAGATTATAAAGCTTAAAAGATTTTTTTGTCATTTTAAATAATTTTTCGAACTAGTAATATTTATTGAGAAAGGTTGTAGTCCATCTCATCATGCTTCAAAACTTATGTGTGGCGCGGAGTTATATTTAAATAATCTACGCGAGAGAAGTCACGGTAAAAGCTAATGGATATAATACACCGTTAGTACTCTATCTTCCATATCAATGGGTTACTTTGAAGAGATCTCTTTTAGATATTAAGTCTTTGTTAATTAGTTAATTTCTTATAATTTCTACATTTGCTGTTCAAGTGCAATAAGGTATATCTATAACATTTATGTATGTACCTATATACTATATGTTTATCGTTTAAAGAGACTTCGTACCTATATCACTTGTTCTTTATTCTTTACCAATTACCTATCCCTTATAAAAATATGCAAGAAATGACGAACGCTAAATTACTAGCCAAACTAAATTCAGCAAATAACTGATTATGGATTAAAATAATAACATTACACCATTTTGCTATGATTATTTGTACCTATCATTAAGCAAATTTTTTTATATATATTTGTTTGTATGTAGAGAGGACCTTTGGAACTACCAAACTGATTTTAATAATATTTCACTTTTTTATTTTTAGAGTTGACCACGTAAGCAGATATGCAGGAGAAGGCTAGCTTATTTGCACAGTTTAATATCAGTAGCATTTATAAATATGACATTTTAGGATCCGAGGTGTGGTCAAATAAAGACTACCGCGTTGTACTTAAGATTTTTTAATACCATAGAGAAGCGAAGAATCTAAACTACACACCATCTCTCATGTCATGAGGGATAAAGCGTACTTAAAAGAAAACTTTCTGCTTACATAAAAGTAAATTTTTATACAAATAATATATGTAAGCAGATAAGAACAATAAAATCGATCGTAATTTGAAAGAGAATTTCAAAATCATGGAACTTGACACGTTTGTCAAGAGCTTTGGCTGTAAAATTATACTTGCATAATAGTATTAGCATATGATAAATAAACCGACCAAGTGCGTGTCGGGTAACGCGCAATGTAGAGTTCCGTAGTTGCCCATCACAATAATGCGGACTAAGAAAGGGCTTTTTGTTGTTTCATACTCTTAACATTTAACGTTAACGTTTTCGGCTGCTCATAATAACAAGTAAATTTTATAAGTTGGTCGGCCATTACTCATAAACTTGTAACACCTAATTAACTATAATATT